TGGTGCTCAGTCCAAAGAACACCCTTTAGTATTTTTTGTGAAGTTGGTCTGGTCATAACAAATTCCTTTAAATTCTGTTTCTGAAAAAAATGTCCTAATTTTGCCATTGTATTTGAGGACAGCTTTGTTAGATATATGATTCTCAGTTGACAATTTTTTTTCTTTCAGAGTTTTGTATGTGTCATCCCATTGCTTTTTTGTTTGCATGATTTCTGGTAAGAAATCAGTGCCTACTCTTATTGCTTCTCCTTTCTAGTTAACTTTTCATTTTTCCCAAGCTGCTCTCAGGATTCTTTCCTCATTTTTTATTTTGGAAAGTTTGATTATGATATGCCTTTGTGATTTTCTTTTGGGATCTACCCTATTTGGGGTTTGTTCAGCTTCTTATATGCTTATCTTCTCATCTTTCATGCATTTGGGAAGTTTTCTTTCAACAACTGTTCAACAAATTTCTGTGTGTATTTTATTGTCTTTTCCTGTTCTGGAATCCTGATCACCCATAAGTTGTTCCTATTGATGGTGTCCCACATAACTCACAGGCTTTTTACTGATTTTTTCATATTTTTTTCTGTCTGTTCTTCTAGTGTATGAGTGTTGAGAGATTTATCTTCATTTTACTAATTTGGGATTCCATTGCTTCAATTCTATACCTTTGCCCTTTCAATGTACTGTCCATTTCTGAGGTCTTAGTAGTAATCTTCTGGATTTCTAGTTACAGGTTTTGTATTGTTTCAAAATTTGCATTTATTTTGTATGTTTGTACTTGTTATGTTTTCATTAATTCTTCTAAAGCTTTTACACTGTGTTCTCCTTGTCTAACTCAATGTTTCAATTATTATCCTTTAGAGGTACATAATTATTATTTTTTAATTCTTTTTCAATTACTTCCATTATCTGTTCTTCCTCATAAACGTTTTCTGACTCTGCATCTTGGTCATTTGTTTGAGCCATTCTCTCTTGCTTCTTCATGTGAGCTAAAACTGTCTGTTTTTTCCTGGAATGTTGTGGGGTTGCAATTGTATCTAACTGATGACTGGATGTTGGTGTGTTTTCAGGCCCTTACCAACTGTTTCCTGTGCACCCACTCAGAGAATAGAAGCATGTACCCTGTTCTTTTACGCTGTTCGTGAACCTCAGTTTAGGGTGGGTTTGGCTGGTATTGGCTGATGTCTACCATTGCTGATGTGATAAAGACGTTGGTACTACCTTTTGCCCAGTAGGTATAACTGAAGATAGTACAGTTGTGGCTGAGCTGTGTGGGCAAGGCTGCTGTCTCCTGTGGGATGGGAAAGAGAAAACTCCTCCTCCACAAGCACACACAATAAAACAAAAGAGAATAAACAAACAAGGAATCAACCATGAAAAGAGAAAATAATACAGAGAAAAAAGTAATAAAAATAGGCAGCAACCTGAAAAAAGAA